ATTTTGACAACTGAAGAGTGAATTCCAAAATCAAAATAGGAGCAACATTCTACACACACACACCTTCAAAATGAGGGGTGTTCAGGTTTTTTAAATGCAAAATTGAAAGAAATACGTCAAATTGATATTGACCAAATTTTGACCGTATCACCCTTTAATATCTGCCTTTAGAAATAAATTTCATAAATGTTCGAACTTCAATATATAATTGGTGTATTCTTAACTTCAATATATAATTGTTTTATTCTCTTAAAGTTCCGCTAAGTTCCACCAGAAGCTGCTTAGAATGCTCTTCAACTATGGTACCGGAACTTTCAAGGTCTTATAACGACTTAAAAATGAGGCTGCTTATTCTAATTCTATAGACCACCTTCAACCAAGCTGCTTAAGCCACAAATAGCCTTTTATCAGAACTTTTGGTTACTTGGGTCAACTCCCTACTTTAGTAAAGAGAGCATCGAATTGTCGTTCTGACCGAGGGGGGCGACACATCTAAAGCTCACTTCTAGATACTCGAAAAATCTTGTACAAGCGAATGAATCTTCGAACAATCTTCTACCATTTTTCGCATCTACTTGCATCGCGTATCATTTTTTTGCAGGAAATCTTCAGAATCGTCATAAATCTGCTTTCTATCTACTCCTTCCTATTTTTCCTACATCGTAGATAGAGTCGCTTCCTCGGTTCTGACTCAAATTCCAGTCAGTTTCAAATTATCGAACATTCATCTTTGAGTTAACTTTTATAGTTATAGTTTTAACACTTTCCTCATCTTCTGATAATTTTACTGAACTAAGGCTAGTTGACTTGAGTTCCGTCTGGTTACGATAAGTCACCCAATATCACAGTGTTTTTGGCCTGTATAAAGTAACGTGATTTTCCGGAAGCCTTGATCGGGTTGTGTTGGAGATTATGATACGGAAGAGTAACTCATGGTCACAGCGGTCTGGAGAATTTTAGAAAATCCGTATTGAAAAATAATTGACCTCGGTTGGGGCCGGTTAAAAGTCATCGTCGGCACCGAATTTCATTTGGAGATAATCTCACGATCAAGTGATCGTAGCACGGGGGCACCAATCACAAATTTCGGCGGAGCTCACATCAATGTGATGAATATAGTGAGTGAAGATGACTGCAACCTACTACCATAGAGGTCACTCTAAGACTAGAAGGTCCCGAAGAAACGTGCTCAACTTTTTGGCTCAGCTCTGGTACTCTTCTCGGTTCCAAGCTAATCGATGCACCCTTCGAAACATAGGAAAATCCACTAGCCCCTCAATTTTTTCTGTCAAACTTTCATAGCGAATCAAAACAAACATAGTGTAGTACTAGAATCTCGACTAGTATAGAGTATGTTAATCGATTTGCTTGGGACCAATAGGCTAGTCAAGTAGTGAGCCAATTTAAAATCGTTAGTTGCCACCGGTTGATACAACTCTTTTTTAGCTACCACACTGCTAACTAAAAAATACAAAGTTTTGTGCCAATCGGCCAACCCCTTGGCTTTTGCCAATTTTTATTTAACACCAATTTTAATTTTTGCAGATCTCTGAAACCATACAACAAACGACATTGGGTGTCCTTTTTTTAAAGCATTTCAAAAGTGCAATCAAATTTTTTGATTTATTTTTAGATAGGATAGAAATCTCCTTATACCTTTTGGCAAATTTCTATTGTTGATTATTCATAAATTTATACAATCAATAAATAAGCAGACGCTTCGCAAAAATTTAATGCAGATCATGTGTCAAATGAAATGTATAAGCGGTCACACATACCTTTTATGCATTCTTATAGGACCTATGCGGTTTGTCTAATGGAATCTATAAGTCTGAAGTTTTGACAAAAATGTATAAGTGAAACAGTGTTGCCAAATCTCCGATTTTTTATTTCAAAACTTTAAATGAAAATATCTCAAAGTTTATGATCCTGCAGGAGATCTACAGTTGTGGCTGCAAAACCCATAGTTATGTGACGAATAAGACGATAAACTACAGTGAACCCGTGATTTCATAGTGATGTTTTTGTGAACTGATCCATCACAGCCAACTGTCCACAATTCTTTCCGATTGAACAGTATTGGGCGATTGTCATGCGAAAGGTCAAGAGGACCGGTAAAGTGACGCGGTATGCTGTCATGGTAAGGTGCTGGAATAAACTGGATAAACTGGTCGCTGAGGACGATCAGGCTTTTGTGCTGCGGATGATGGCGTTCATCAATAAGAATGCTTGTTGGTAACAGCCGAAATGAATCAAATTCTATAAACTTTATTCACCAACCAATGTATTTCAGCGAATGAAAGTTATAAAATTCCTGTGGAATACTCAGTTAAGTTAGGCTAATTTAGGATAATTTTCATGTAATGCTTACATTTAGTGATTCTCGCTGTATGGCAATATAATCGCTTGAGAGATCCAACAACTCTCGTAGGTTTAGGAAATCTGTAGGTTTAAGTTTAGTTTACTAATGTGTGCCTTGGCTCTAGATATAAAGTCTCACCTATCAACGGTAACAGAGCAGCCGAATTTGCTGGTAGTTATAAGTAATCGTTTAGCCGTAGGTACCTAGTTAGATGTTTGTGTTTAGGATCATGTTTTAGGTTTAAATTCTTTTTACCTCACCTTTTTCCGGGCCACATATAACTTATTCAGAAGGCAAGTAGAAGTTCTAGTGGTTCATCGATACCTTAATAATAGCACATAATAGGTTAAGAATCTTCCTGTCATACTATTTCATATTCTCACCTCTAGATTAAGAATCAATAATTTGCAACTAATATTTAGCACTCAAGTTCACTAGGTTTAGTTCACTAGGTTTAGTTCACTAGGTTTAAGCAGTAGATTTAGTGTATATAATAAGTATATATATAAGTAGTTTTAATTTTCGCAATTGGCAGGGCAATTTCACTTTTGTTTTGTCTTCTTTCCATAGTTTGATTTGTTTACATCCTGACCACTTTTTCCTCTCACCGCGTGACAATCCCTCGTATAGCGATGGGTGTGGTTGCACTCACTCGTCAGTGGCGTAGATCAGCGGTGGGAGTACACACATCTGGAGCGGGCGTAACCAACAATGCTTGTGCTTTCATTAGAAACCCATCGGAATAATTATTGAATATTTGGTGCATTAATTATGCTTCATTTTGATTCCTTAAAATTTTTCAAACCAATCCCGAGATAGAGCTGGTTGGTTGCTTACTTCCGGATTCTAACTGAAGCACACTTTATTCAAGTAGCTGACATTATTTTCTGATCTCAGACGTAGACGCGTTTCCAATACCATGGGGGAAGGATTTTAAAATTGTTTTCTTAATCTGTAGCTTGAATAAATTGTTACGACCGTAGACTTGGAAGAATATTCATTCAAGTTCCTTGGCACTTTGTTTTTAAAACTCGTGATGCGTATTACTCATTGAGTAATACTCAATGAGTATACTACTACCTACTGTATTTTCATTTCATGCATCGTGATAAAAAAAATACATCTTTTTTCTTCAGATATAAATAAGCGTCCCGAGCGTTGTGATTCCCATCTGCGTGCAGGAATTTGAAGAGCGGACAAAATTTTTAACGCACTCCGGTTCAAAGCAAATAAACACACTGATACAAAGTGCGGCTTCACCAGAATTCTTACTTTTGTGTCTGCTTCATTCACGATCGATGACCTAGTTCTGTAATTTTAATATGTTTCAAAACGATCGATATTTATGCGTTCTGTGCGAATCACATATCAATGTATCATTTTCTGGTAAATTATTTTTAGCCGGTAGCTTATTTGATGGTTTTCCTCGCAACATTATCTTCGGTCCGCAATTTCCTCACGTATTATTATTATTATCTGGAGCTGGTCGGAAATCATGTTGTACTGTAAACAAAGAAGCAAGCATGCATGCTACATCGTCATCATTTCACTTCCCGTCTATTCAAACGACTTTGATTCCTTTTTTTCTTTCTTGTTGGTAGGTAGGGGATTGTGGGGCAAGATGGCAGTTCGTGTGTTTCTGGGGTGTTTTTTGATAATATTTTCGTGTTCCTAAGGTGGTCTGTGGGATTGTTAGTGATTTGCATTGTTATGAATCATCCCTTATACTAGGAATATATTATGTAAAGCGGATTGATGTCCATATATCAGGATGACTGTCTTGCCGCACTTTACCCTACCCACGTTACGCGATTTACATTTCAGTCCAAAGTCGTTGCAAGAGCAGTAGCAACAGCTGTAGATTGATATTTATAACCTTTTACTACCGGTTAGGTGTGTGTGGCCCTCTTCCGTCGAGCGACGAACGGTGGGAAAATTTCACACCTTTTTCCGAAACGCGACCGTGCTGTCGTGGTACGTGGGAGGTGAGATTTTTATTGCCTTCCAAGTTCAGTTACGATTGGGGGTGTTTTGATTCTTGCAAGAAAACGAACGTCAGTGAATGGAATTTGATGATTAACTCTGGCGGTTGTCGAATTCGATGCAGAGCTTTTCGCATTAAATATGTTTTAGAGTTTTAGAAATGGAATGCCGTAAACACTTTTACAAAATTGAACACCGCTTTGCCTGGATCTTTTCGTGAACATTGATTTCTTCTTTCGCTTACTGCACTTGCAATCTTGCAACCAAGTAGACTTGCCGTCTGTCACCCGCTGAGATTGAACATCCGATATAAATAGATAGAACGTAGGGAAGAAAATGTTGAAAATTGAACCCTCATCTGATCCCTGCACCTTCACCCACCAACAGATTGTCAACCAGAGTGGCAAATTTGAATCCCTTTGTTATGCTCTTCCGTCTCTGCTGATGTGTCTCAGAATTTACGTCTGGTGCTTTGTCTCCGCTCAATTGCTTTCCCTTTCTTCCAACATTAGCGTCATCGTCTGCCTAGTTAAACACGGTCCGTTGTTCTGCCCAGTGATTGAATCCAATCTAATTAAATTTAGAATTTTCGACCGGCGGCGCACACTTAATCAATGAAACTAATTTTTGTCTTTCCTTTGTTATCTCATTGCAGCCGATGCTCTGCGATGCTGGCGGTGTTCGTCGGATGCTTCGACGGCGGCCTTCTGCGATGACCCATTCACCCAGGACATCATCACCGAACAGCAGCGGCGTTGGAGCTTCGTCGACTGCAGCTATCCACCCGGAACGGGATCGTATCCGTTCAACCAGCAGCAGTCCCAGACGCGTGCCGTGTGCAAGAAGATGAAGCAGATCAGTAAGTAGAACAACGTACCTGTGGATATATGATATTTTAATGCCATGCTGGCGAAAGCAAAACAGCGAAATCGCAGCGAAGATTATCGTGGAATGTAATTAAAACATAATCTACCTTCCGCGCAACCTTCACCCTTCATGGTGTGACGAGCGCATAAAAGGTAGCGTGGCAAAATCAATTAGCTAATGATACCATTATCACTTTCATAGGAACCGTGAAAATGGGATTGTGCATGATATCGGACTCATTACATTATGGAACCTTTCGAAGGGTGCTACGATGGTCAGCCATTAGTGCACTGCGTTGATTAATTAGATTTCACGTGGTACATACCAAATTTTGTGTGTGCTTTGAATGAGCACGGGTCTGAAATTTGATTTTCCTTGAATGAGTGACAAATACTACTGAAAAGTTGGCAAAAAATCAGGCCAAAGTCGAACCATCACGCTACAAAAATTAACCTTGTTTAAACTCATGACATGCAAATCTACGCATTTCTACGCCAAACGCTATGCATGAAGTAGGCTTGTGGTACCCGTAGTGCGAAAACAAGTTTTACCAATATAACCGGGTGATTTTCGAGTGCCGAAATACCGGGACTAGCAAGTGAAACCACCGGTATATGCAGTATTAGTCATTTAATAAAATGTATGTCATTTTATAAATCAAATTGCTAATTTTAAAGCTTAAGATATATTAAGGATGGTGACGACTGAGACAGAATTGCTTGGTTTAACGACTTGCTCAGTCTTTAATACTCGAACGACTACGATGTGATATGCCCAACGTTTCGGCCATGGGTTGTGGTCTTTTTTAAGGGAAAATATTGTCTGTCGTTATTGTCAATAATTTAGTCGTTGGTGTGGTCGGTTTCACATATTTTGGTTTAATTTAATGATGCGCTTACTCAAGTTTTTTTTCACACGGTTTTTTAGACGCTATTTTTAAGATGATTTTCGAAATAAATCGTTTTTTTTAAACAGTTTTTTTTAAGAACATGGACTTTTTACACGTTTTTTTCAATAGGGTTCAAGAGCCATCATATTCTAAGTGTTTTCTGAGAAATTGACTTGGCCAAAAACAAACTTCGAAGTGCAATTCGAGTGGGCTCTCCGGACAATATGGGGACATATTTTCGAAACGGGGACGACGTGTAGAGGCCGGAACTCCATTATTGACGCCATTTTGCAATCCAAGACATCGATTTCCGGTTTACTTACTTACCTTACCAGTCGTCTCCACTCTACTCGATCCATGGCCACAGCTCGCCAGCCTCGTAGTCTGCGAAGGGTCCGCATGTCACCTTTTACTTGGTCGATCCACCTTGCCCGCTGCGCGCCTCTTCTTCTTGTTCCTGTTGGGTCGCTTTCTAGAACCATTTTCACTGGGTCGTCGTGCGGCATTCTGACAACGTGACCAGCCCACCGTAGTCGCTAAATTTTTGCAATGTGGACGATGGATGGTTCTCCCAGCAGCTGGTGCAATTCGTGGTTCATTCGCCTCCTCCACGTTCCGTCATCCATCTGCACTCCACCGTAGATGGTACGCAACACCTTCCGTTCGAAAACACCAAGGGTGCGTTGGTCCTCCACGAGCATAGTCCAGGTCTCGTGACCGTAGAGGACCACCGGTCTAATCAGCGTCTTGTAGACAGTCAACTTCGTGCGGCGGCGAATTTTATTCGACCGGAGCGTCCTCCGAAGTCCAAAGAAGGCACGATTCCCTGCCGTAATGCGTCTTTGAATTTCTCTGCTGGTATCATTTTCGGCGGTCACCAGTGAGCCCAAATACAGGAACTCATCGACCACCTCGATTTCATCACCGTCAATCTGAACTCGGGGTGGGAGGCTAACATTGTCTTCTCTAGAACCTCTTCCTTTCATGTATTTTGTCTTTGATCCGTTGATGGCAAGTCCAATCCGTCTAGCTTCAGCCTTCAGTCTGATGTACGTTTCCGCCAACATCTCAAAGTTCCGTGCCATAATGTCAATGTCGGCGAAGCCAAGGAGCTGGATGGATTTCCTGAATATCGTGCCACTCGTGTCTATCCCAGCTCTTCTGATCACACCTTCTAACGCTATGTTGAACAGCAGACACGAAAGTCCATCACCTTGCCGTAACGCCCTTCGAGATTCAAAGGGATTCGAGAGTGTCCCCGATACTTGAACAACGCACATCACTCGATCCATCGTCACCTTGACCAATCGCGGCAGTTTATCCGGAAATCCGTACCCGTGCATAATCTGCCATAGCTGATCTCGATCGATTGTGTCGTATGCGGATTTGAAATCGATTAACAAATGATGTGTGGGCACGTTGTATTCGCGACATTTCTGCAGAACCTGCCGAATCGCGAAAATTTGGTCCGTGGTAGCGCGGGCACCCATGAATCCCGCCTGGTATTGCCCCACGAACTCTCTTGCAAATGGTGACAGGCGGCGGCATAGAATTTGGGAGAGTACCTTGTAGGCGGCGCTCAGCAGTGTGATCGCGCGGTAGTTGCAGCAATCCAACTTGTCGCCCTTTTTGTAGATTGGGCATACGACACCTTCCATGCACTCCTCCGGTAATATCCCCTCGTCCCAAATCTTGGCAATTACCCAGTGCAGCGCTCTAGCCTGTGCTTCACCACCGTATTTTAAAAGCTCACTTGGTTGTTGATCTACACCAGATGCTTTGTTGTTCTTCAAACGACCGATCTCCTCCTCAACTTCTTGAAGATCAGAGGCCGGTAGCCTGTCGTCTTCTGCGCGTGCTCCAAGGTCTGTTGCTGTGCCACCTTCGTTTTCTGCTGCTTCACCGTTGAGGTGCACGTCATAGTACTGCTTCCACTTCTTAATCACCTCACACTCGTTCGTAAAAAGGTTACCGTTTTTAAATGACGTTTATTTTCGATAATCTGTCAATCTTTTAGAGGACTGACTTCTGAAGCAACGTGAGGATTCTACTTGGAAAAACAAAGCTCGGTCATATCTCAAGCTTACTCGTCTTTGTATCGAGGAAAATTATTTCATTTTTAGAGGAACAAACTAAAGGTAGTCCTATGGACAATCCACTTGCTCCATTTTTATTTAAATTGTTCATGGTTATCCTAGGATAGGAAGTGTTGGTACGTGGATGACATTTTTAGCATTGTCAAAAGGGAAGATTCATCAACAATTTTGGAGGCCATAAGCAACGTTTAAAAGAACATCAAAATTACTCACGAAGAAAGACGGCAAACTCCCCTTCTTAGATCTTCTAATCAAAAGGGAAACGTCTTCGTTAAATTTCAAAATCTAGAAGAAACCAACAAATAGGGGAAATGGATGTAATTTTAGCCTAAATGTTCCTAATTTGGGCCCATACATGAATTCAGCAATCGACTAAATTTTCAATAGTGACCTAAAATATCCATTAGTACCGGCCCAATGACGCGTTAATCTAGATGAAATTGATAAATAGCAGATTTTTAGCGATGGGCCCTATCTTAGATCCATAGGCCAACATTAGAGCCATTTCCTCTACAAATAGAGTAATACCAAGCTCTTCAAACCATTCTCACCAACACTAAATAGCCTTTTCACAACATGGCTCACATGATTTTAGTAGTAAAATTACGTTTATTTCTGTTAATTATAATTTTACATTGTTTTAACATTTTAATTGATTAGCCTATCAGGCTCTTCATTTTTGTTTAATTTGTTATTGTAATTTAATATTTGCGTTTTTCAACTAGTTAACAGAATACCCCTTTGGGGTGTGTTTTGATTGAATTGGAAAAAAATAGTGAAAGCCTACCTAACTACGAGTATAACTTAACCTAACGTGCTAGATCACGTATGATCTGATGATTTGATCTTAGATAGGTGTCTCTGAATCTTTCCAGGATAAAAACTCTCCTTTCTTCTAATGTCTGAATTCCAGCCAGGATCTCAGAATTTCTAGTTTGCGGGGGACTGTTTAGGATTATCCTAAGGATCTTGTTCTGGATCCTTTGTAGTTTAAGGTGATGGCATTTGGCGCAACTCTCTTAGATTGGCATGCCGTACTAGTCCAGGAGATTTAGAGTGTGGAAAGCTGATGACCTGGGTCTTTGCCGCGTTAATACGGATCTTCCAGCTGTTGAAATATCCAGACAGGTCGTCCAGGCCTCTCTGAAGTTTGGCAGTCAGAGCTCCGATGACCCTACCCTTGTAGACGATGGATGTGTCATATGCGAACAGAGACAACGATCCACCAACAGGGAGAGCCAGCACATCGGAGGTGAACAGGTTGAATAGGATGGGGCCAAGGATGCTTCCTTGTGGAACCCCGGCACCGATATTGAAAGCATCCGATGTGATGCCATTCAGAGATACTCGGAACGTCCTGTTCGATAGATAGTTGTTAAAAAGTTGACCGTAGTGCTGCAATTTGAACACCAGGCCATCATGCCAGACATTGTCGAACGCTATTTCAACGTCCAACAACGCCATGGCAGATGTTTTCGAAACAGATTTGTTCCGTCTGAGAATGTTTGTTACTCGGGTCAGCTGGTGGACGGTTGAACGACCTTTCCGAAAACCAAACTGTTCCTCGAGTAACAAGTTGTTTTCATCGGCAGATTTCAGGAGCCGGTGCGGTAGTAGACTGCTCTTTCGAACAGTTTTGATAACCCTAAGAGAAGGCTGATTGGTCGATAACTTGAAGGAGAGGACGGATCCTTCCCAGGTTTCCGGATGGGTATGACTTTAGCTGACTTCAACACGAGGGGAAGTAGCCAAGTTGGAGGCACAGATTGAAAATTAGTGCCAGATGGTTGTAGAATGAGGAACTCAAGTGAATCTGAATCCACTGACAGGCAAATCAAAGGAAATTGCTCAGATTTTTGAAACCGCAAGACTTAATGGGTATCAAGAAAAAACAAATTCAGGCAGTACTCGATAAAAGAACAAGGGTTCATTTTAGGCGTAATTGTACAACTCTTACACGAGTAACTGAGAGGGTTTAAAACGGGTAGCCATTGAGTTCGTAGATAA